AATTATTTTTGGTCAAAGCATTTAAGCGAAGTAGTCCTGATCCAATCCTGAAAATAAAATTAGTTGGGTTGAGACTGTCAAAACGGATATCGATTTGGTGCTCTGAAAATAAAGAAATGCCTTTCGAACAATGTGTAAGAAAACAAATAGACTGTAAGATCTCGTATGGGTCGTGAGCTCAATCTCAAAATATAGAATTGACTTCCACTATGGATGTGGCCATAAAAGCTTAAAAAAGCAACAAGTACTGAACGCATAAACAGAATTTGTATTGCTCTGGAGAAGTATGTTGCGAAAAAAAGCAATGATGGTTCAGCCTCGCAAATTTCTGTACAAATAAACAAAAGATTTTGCGGACCTACTTCAGCTATTACACTCTCTGCTATAGCACGGTGAAGGAATCCTTAATAAGAGTCAAATTTTGATCCTACTGTATGATATAAGGTATTTTCACAAAGTTTTTGCATTTAATTTGGAGCATAATGCCAATGAAGGGATGCGGAGGAAGGAGTAGCATGACTCGCTACAATACTAAGAACGGACTATGCTTCCGCAAAAGTGGTTGGAGTGCTGGAAGTAGAGGTGCTAGAGGCACCGGACCAAAGCTTGATTAGGAGAAAGAGAAATCTATCGTATCTGCCGAGCTCTTTTGTGGGACTCGCATATGTTTCATCTGTGAAACTACAAAAAATCTGCACCTTGTGTAATCTCCTTCGCGCTCGGCTAAAGAGTACAAAACGCCAACCTTTCATGCACAGACAGCCGGCACACCCCATACGGGGGAAAATCAAGTCTCAGTAGGCGCAGGAGAGCTTGCTGGTAAAAACTAGATCATTGTATTTCTCGTAGCAGTCGTAGTCAATGGAAGTCAGTGTTAAATAAATACTATATATTTGTGAGGATGGGCTCATAGCAATAGTTTGCTGGTCGATGTTCGTGAAGCTGTTAAACTTTCAAGGTAGTTTGATATATACGTACAGCGCGATTGAAAGAAACATAAGACAGTGTGCAGAGGCATTGAAGACGCCAAATACGGTATTATCTAGACATCGTATGAGGGATACATTGGAAACAGAATGTGATGCTTGAGGCCTTTGTCTACGTGAAGCTTTGTCTTATCCAGACGTGGTTTCGACATTTGACCGCATCGTAGGTACGGCGATTCTGGAACGCCACAAGGCATGGGTCGATGGGAAGTAGACATTTAATTGCTACATAATTCTATATGATAAGAGTTTGTGCATCATGAACTGACCTCTGCCAAAAGAACATGTAAAATTAACGCGGGCAAAATGATGTGATATATCCTATTCAGGACGTCAATCTTCCAAAATTGAACCCAATAGTTTTGATCGGTACCTCAAACAGATCTTGGAATGCGGAAGCTATAGCATCCGCGCTCGTTAGATGAGACGAAAAAAGGCGACTATAAGCTAGTGTCCATGAGTTTGACCCGGAGACTAGTAGAAAGGACTGAGTGTCACAGTCTGCTGTGCAAGAGTTGGTGGAGCTTAGGGCGAATGTAAGTCACTTTTAGAATAATACCAGGGCCTCTTCGCTATGAAATTCATTTCGTCTTAATCGTATATGACGGTGCTGTTGAGTCAAATGTGTTGTGCCATAGATCGACAGTAAGAGTAGTAAAGTTCGACAAAAGAATGCGGAGAAGGTTATTTGGATATATACATAATTACCACATTAGTTCTAGAAGTGTTAAGTCTCCCCCTCACTGCTTCGGTGGAAGCTGTTATAGTGCTTATGAAATAATTTCTCGAGGATACGTGCAAGGAATAGCAAGTCAAGAAAACCATCAAAGTTTTACAATGAAACTGGAGGAGAAGCTGGTCTCATCGCCCGTCATGTATGGATCTGGCATTAAGGGCACTTACAGATTAATGAGTACGAGATGTGAGACAGCTGTACTCTAGAGGCCTACTAATTGTTTGGATTTGGTTGAAGCTATTCCACAACGTATGAAAAGGAGACCTTTACGCGAATTACCTCCTATAGGGGTGCGCATAATGAAAATGAAATGATTCAGGGCGCTGTGACGTAATTTCTCAGATTTCTTTGCGAAGCACGATGAGGCTTGGTAAAAGAAATTAAATCTTCCCTTCGATGTCGACGTAGTGTGTTAGAAAGGCTAGCAGCAAGTGGCCGAATGTGCATACTAACAATAAGCTAAATACAGCCATTGTTCCACCCTGATTGCTAAGAATTGGATGGGCTCGAGACCAGCATCGGTAAAGCTATGTTCAGTGCTTTTGAACGAATTGATTGATATTCTCAAGCGCCTCATGAAAGACACAATATACTTTCTCTCGCTGCGGTGAGTACTCCGATGGCAACTTTTGGGGGATGGCTGCTTACACCACTGGGACTACACTAGTGATTTTTACTAGTGTAGTTCAATCGGTTGGTAACGCTGCTGTCAAAACATATTATGATATGCACAAACCATTCGTGACGATATATTTTGTATATAGTCGTTCAGAGCACATGTATTCGGATGCACTCAATGACATTAAACACTTACAAATACTATGATATGTCGCATGTCACGACGGTTACATCGCAAAATGATATGGCGATATTTACAGCGTACAGGTGCGACAAAAATGTGTTGCACTGCATAATTCTTGAAAAGCAAGAAACTAGAGGGCTGGGTAGTCTTATTTAGTTATACACCTGCCTTATCCCAAATACAATACATACCAACATGACGCTGACCATACAGTGGTGCCTCTTCAGGTATGGCATATGAGACCCCCTTGGGCCGCCAATTAAGAACAGAGAATACATACTGCTCGGAGAGCGCTATGTTGGTGGCCCAGCATGTATAAGTGGGTATGTCTATGTGTGCGCATACATGAACCATGTCAACAGATTGACCCTTCGTCGAATCCGACAGTACCCTTGGCCGGTCACCAGCTTCATACATTTTTGCATTCCATCATTTTAGCCTTAATTTTCGGCAATTCAGAAAATGCGTACGGGAGTTATGGTCTTGTGGTCGATGGGGACGCTCCGGGCATAATTTTCCAGCTTGCTGGTGTCAACAGTAGCGTGAAGTTAATCTGACCTATGATAGGTTCTTCAACCAGCACGTCGTACTTAAGTTTTGTATTAATGAGAGGCCCGCATTTTACAGATAAATTCAATGAACATTGTTTAAGGTGCGCGGCCCCGAATTAGACATGTTAATTGCTAATTACCGCTTACAGATGGTCGGTCAGAACGTATGAATCGCGTTTTGGGAATATTCTCCCAAGCCCTTGCACAGAGAGACCGGAATGCTGGTGCGAGCTGCTACCTCCCAATGCGTAAGCGACGTACACTGGAATGTATGTCTTGTATGTCTTTATAGGCCTTAACCCCAAATTACAGGAATGATTGGGTGGATCCCCAACTGAATTTGGCACCATCACAAAGTGGTCCCGGTCTTAGTGGAGCAGGTACTGTTGATCGAATTTGCCATGCAATATCAGCCGGCGACACACCTCGCAACAAAAGCAGAGAAAGCAATCTTGATGAAATTGTGCGTGATGTGCAAGGGCAAAAAGCTTTTGTTGGGAGCCAGAAAATATAGCAACACGCCGGTCCCAACGACAGCGGACACACATGCAATTATTGTTAAGTATGCTGCTGTAGTCAATGCTTGCACTAACTCATGAGTTATGGTGACTGGCTCAAGTGGTTTAGTATCGTGATGCTAAATGGCAAGTTGTGAGTTCAATCCCCACTAAGGATGATTAGTGCTTGTTTAACCTTTAAGGTTCAGACTGCATATGTCTGCAAATTAAAGTGTGTACTAATTTTAGGTTCGCGCAAAGGCTTAGTTAGAGTGTTTCACATACCATAGGATGGGTTGGTAGCTCTAAACTTAGGTTTAGTATATAGTGTGGCCCGCAAGGTAGTTGCGCGTGGGCCCACACAATTGCGTCTAACATTAATACACTCATTTCTGCATTGGCACACACAAGCACACATCACTTCTACATCTGCCCTTCTTATATCCTTCAATTATGTTGTTGGGGAGTAAGGATTCCTTGAATGCAAGTATACACAAGCGGATCTGCGGTCTCCATGACCAAATTACGTTTGCGCATTATGATTGCATCAAAGAAAACTTTACTGCTACTCGTCGCACCCCAACGATAATATAAGAAATTCTGCGTTCTCCATGGGCATCATTATATCATGCCACAATCCCACAAAACAAATTATTCAAATTTAGCGATCGCTGTCGCAAGCGTAGCTATGTATCTTACATCTCCCTTCAGCTAAATTACCTTCTGATCTGTCACAGCAACGCGTTTCGGAGCTGCGGGAATTGCCTAAGCCAAGCAGAGCAATGACGAAGCTCAAAGAGCTTTGTTCGCTCAAAATTTGCGCAGCGGAGACGCTGAACACAGCGAGCGCCTTCTCCTTTGGACTCGCTTGGTCGATGATGTTTGGCCGGAATGAAGAGATGCATTGGGATTGTTTTTTATCGGAGGACACACCAGCATCCTCATCAAAAATATTTGGCACGTTGGACACACAGATCGTGCTTTTAGCGGTATCTCGACAAATCGCTCAATTTGGTACATGAAATCTAACTTCTAGTGCGCGTACGTTCAGAGAAAAGCATCGACGAAAAAAAGGAGACGATGTAAAGCTAGGCGCAGTGGATACTCGAGAAGCGGTAACTTCTGCATAGTATTCTAAATAGACAAAATAAGTGTAAATTCAAGTGTGGCACACATCCTAGCGGGGCAGTGTAACGGGGAAAAGAATATAATCTTGTATGCCCATACCTTACACATTTACTACGAATATTACTAATCAGTACTGTTCGAATGTACATATCTCATATTGCAGTAATTAATATTCATAAAAAATCAAAGTATCGGTATTTATTAAGCTAGTGGATTTTGTGAAGAAGAGGTCATGGTAAATGTGGGCTTTACTGTGGGACACTTGCGACATCTGTTACTTCAGCATCTACCATCTTAGGAATGCGTCAGAGGTACTACATTGAAGTGCCATCTCTCACGTGGGGCGAACTCACTAATGTTATGCACTGTCGCTCCTTTTCGCACATGATCGCACTTTCGGATCAATTTGTCGGTATGAAATACCTTCCGACCTTGTATTTGATATACCCAGCCTAATGATTGAAGTCGGCAGTGTTCCCATCGGCGCCTCGTGAAGGTGTTGCTGAAGGTTTCTGATGGCCACAATCTTATAATTAGTGTGTGCTTGTCGGCGCTTAACTGCCGCTTCCGATCTTAGGCCGCTAAATATCTGTCCTACTTGGAAGTCATATAAAGCAGAAGCTTATCAAGCGTGTCAAAATGTGCCATGTGATCTAGTCAAATAAACCCTATGTCATTTCCACAGAAGATACAGATTTGTTAATGCTAGGCCGTCGGATGGATAACAAGTGGTGCCAGGTGCGAAGGAATCGCTGTGTAAATCGAGCCCACGAAGTATCATACTAAATAGTCTGTATTAATAAGCCCACCATGGATGGGCTTGTACACTTTACTCAGGAGCAATACAAAGAGCCTTTCAGGTAGCTTTATAACCAGGTATGCCTCTAATCACAAGAGTGGCACAATGTCATACACCAAGTAGAACATCGCGGTCTCCGTTCATCCGTTCGACGATTCCGATTAATATAGTGTTACGTATATAAAATAAATGTGAGATATTTTAATCTACTGTCTGAAATATTTTGATCTAAATTCTTTAATCGAAAAAGCCCAATTCACAGATATACCGCTAAGCGGAATGCATCCACGGCGTTTCATTGACCGAGAGAAATGGTCTGTGGCTACATTGCATGCAGGCCGTACCATTGACCAAAACATTTTAAGTTGATCGCGAATGTGGGTTGAACATTGGATAATTGTAGTAAGTGCGATATTCCAATATAAAAAAATCACCATGGCGGTGGAAACACAACGTGAACAACTTTGCGGATAACGGCGACAATAGGCATCGCACCGCGCAGACAATTTGGAAATAGTTCAGTGCCAGTCCTTCAACAACATTTGAGTAAGCTGGACGCTCCATTTGATAACTTACTTTGGTCAAAACGTCAGATTTGTAACAAATTGAAGCCTTAGTACCGGATTTCGCTTGCGCAAATGTCAGAACAAGTCCAACTTTGGAGCCGACTCTTACACGCCTTGCAGCCACTTTTTCATTAATGTATAACTCTGAGAAAATTCTGATGATTTAACGCGTTTAACAAAAGGGCTTGATTTACGGAGATCTGTGAAAGTTATTCATGCTTCTGCAGACACCAACCCGATATATAAGTCATGGTGTCACACCACCGCATTTTCGTAGCCGATGAACAATTCCGCGCGACCATGTTTTGCTTTTGGCCTTTGAGCCGCCAGCTACATTACGAATATTTATAAAGCATACTTTGTTGTTCCCGACACACACATGTGATCATTTATGGGGCATTTTCACATATAATACTCTTTCATTAAACACCATTATAAGATTAAGTTGAGGGATATCAAGTGCAACGTGTTGCCATCGAGATTTGCACAGTTGAAGTTTTTTAATCGATGATTTTGCGGTCACAAAAATGCGCAAAGAACATGTTAAGGAACTGTTTTTGGTTGTGGACGATCCTCTAAGGTGTCTGGGAATCAATCGTAAAGTAGAATTCAATGTCACATAGAAGTAATTTGCCAAAATAACAACTGCAATGTATCGCATTATTATAAGCCACAAAATAATTCTGCTTGACTCCTTAGGTTGGTTTTGTCCGACAAATGTCTCTATTAAAGTACCATTTTTCTGATAGCGTACCTGGTACTAGAACCTCAAGGTTTGCATAACAATTTTTCGCCACGGGATTTGCCCTAAGCCCGCGACCTTTGCTTCGAGTCGTACGACCAGAAATAGGAATGTGGACGTGGGCATTCCCCAAACACATTTCAGCCCACTAAACCGTTAAACCGGTTAGGCTTACAAGCTGTCGTCGTTTAAATATAGTCTCATGGCTTACATAGCGATAATAAAACATTACTGTAAGTGTCAAGCAATTTATAACGCTGAAAACTCCCATTCAACTACTCGGTTACAAATACCTTTTACATAGCCTCCCTTAAGTGAAAGGGCACCATTGACAGGAGCATTAATGCCTCAATTGTTGAGGGTGGTGAGGTGCACACAGCCGAGGGTCGTGCAAAAGAATCGCCAGGTTTCGACTCATCGCCTATGCCATTCGTGAAAGCTTTGTAGTGCAGCCACTGCTCTTTTTTTAAACGTAATCAAATCATATGTAGTGGCACTAACATCATTGTCACAATTGAAGCAGATAATACAAGCTACTTCACTCTTCGAGAAACGAGCCGGTATACGTAATTCACGCGAGGGTAAGCATTTTTACTGGCGAGCTGCAACCAAAACAAATTGTGACATGCAAATCAAAGTCGGGAGAGGAGAAAGCACATCAGCCTCTGTTTAAGTCGGCCAAAATCGTATTTTATTACTAATGCTATACCTAACGCAGGATGGTTGCCATCTTACCCTTCGCTACAAGAGACGGTTGTGTGAGGAACGACGCATAGTCGGTGGCGACTATCCTGATTCTGACAATGAAAAACTGCATATTATATCATTATTCTGAACAGGATGATTGTTCTTTGTTGCTCTGAGCAAGCGAAATTCGCACAACTAACAGGTACATGTCTATTGGCATCAGATGGAGAAAAGGAGGGGCGACGGCAGAGATTGAAGTGTCACAACGAAATGGATAAACCATTTCGGATCCTAATAAGCCATCTAGATGCACTTATGAGCTTCATAGCCTACATCACCGTATTTTTTGTGACATTTCACCACCATTTGATACTAATTTTGAGGAATTGGCCACTCCGATGGAATCTTGCTCAAAGTACTATTCACAGTGGGGAATACCACTGACGAGCATGATATCGATCGATTATGTCGAAAGCACTGTACAAGGTGCGATCAACCAGCTGCCCTGCAAAACATCCTTAATTGAATTCAGCTTTGTGCCGAAATAATTTAGCTCATTACTATTCATTGTTGCTGTTTACTTTCTGACGAAATAAAGCACGGGGACAGAATATTTTCTTATTCTCGCTGATACGCCTCGTATTTGTATGGAAGAAGGCGCCCCAGACATCGACCCTTCAGAATGATGTTATCTTGCTAAAGGGTTCTACGTATGACACAATATGGCTGCAAGAGCCAGGTCAAACCCATCAAAATACTACGATCGAGATACAACATTGATGGTAGGTCTATTTGATATCTCATCGACAAAATAGTCTTCGGGGAATGTCGAATTTTTGAGGATAGTGAGTAGGTCATTTCAATTAGTGCTTTCAATTACGCCGAATGGCGTACTCATCATTTGTGAAGAATTGGACATGCTTCTCAATCGTAACAGTGTTTGTACCAGGTTGAAGATCTCAGCGTATTATCACTCCCTGCGTGCATCATGAAAAGATAATCCAAAGATCACTTAACCTTCTTCCTGGTTTATGGAGTCAAGGAGCATTCGTTAAGACTTATTCAGCCGCTCTATTCACGAGTGAGTAGATTTACTTGTCAAAAAATGGAGCCTTGAAAATGTGAACGCTTTGCGCACCAACCGCTGATCCAGCAGTATCGTCTTACGGAGCGAAGCTCAGAGAATACAAAATGATATCAAAAGCTGGATCTGTAGCGAGACGTTTGTTATTATAGGATTGTATAGTTGAGATCACGGCATTCAGGAACTCCAATTCGTCTCTACAGTATAAACACTGGCAATGTGATTAACAGTCCATCTTCTGCAACCAAAATCTTACCATCAATCAACCCCGGCGACCATGACCTTTGCTCACTTAATTCCGTACCAACTGGAGATCGCGGCTCCCAGCCACTTCAGTCAGGCGTCACGTAGGACGACACAGAGCTCGAAGGAAATTATGTCATGCGTGCATATTACACCATTATCATTCAGATTTAGAACCAGGATGAAAAGTAGGAAGTGTAGGGTCATGATAAAGTATTATACTTGGCGCTGTATGAATAAGGAATATGTGACTATGAAATAATAGAGGTTTCAAAAATTCGTGCGCTGCTTAAGTCACATAATGGATGGAGTATATACAGCTTTACTATCGTGGAGAGCTCTGCGTATTTGATTAGTATCAATCTGAGCTAGTTTCAATTTGGGGCAAATGTTACCCTTGTACATAGTGCTGGATATCCTGATCCGTTCCTTGTCTCGCTTTACCTTTGAATGAAATATTATTTATCGAAGCAAGAGTAATTGAGAGGCTTCCAATATGGTATCTCCTGGGCAACTGATGGGATTTTGTGCGCTAACTGATGCGGGCAAATCATATTCCACAGTTTTAAAAATCTATTGCTGCCTACCTAGACGCCAATCCGTAATACCAGAAACTCTAGCAGCTACTTACGTCATTCTGATGTCATCATTAGCAGTGCCTTTTTCGTACTAATCCGACATTTGATCAATACTTGGTCAGTATGCTCTGCGCTCTGCGCATGAACACGATATCGCGGATTTTGCTCTGGCAACACCACTGCTCGATCTCGTGACGATTGCAACTTGATCATAACTTGATTTCAAAACTTTGTAACTGCATCGCAGTGATCTGTTTGGTCGTCAGAGTGGTCTCCAATGCATTCGTGGAGCTCCTCTACAGCATGCTCAAAATTCCCAGACATAAAGTGTGATGGCGAGTGCCATTGAACTTCAGTGCGCTTATGCAGCTGTTAATAATCATCCAACGCAATGGCGCCTTGATTGTCTACATAAATCTAGGCCAATACTTGCCATACCGCCTCGTGTGTCGCGTTCAATAGCGCGTGTAAACAGACTCCGTAGCTTAAAAGGCCACCGTCCGCTGCTTGATTTCTCCAAGCTGATACAGCTTTTTTCATCAAAAACACACCACCACTTGTACTCCTTTCATGATTTCATGTCCTGGTCAGACTATACTCGATGCCTGCCATCGCAACTAGTCCAAAACACCAATATCGTGCATCTGTATGGCTCAATTGAGTCTAATGACTATTTAGAGTACCTACTCATGCGTTGGACATAAATCTGCATATCCTTTCCAAAGCTGCTAAATTCGGTTGATGACGGTACATGAGGCACCAACTATGTGCTTTGAAAAGGAACATTCGTAATGTTTTCGTCATGCTAGCAGCTGCTCTGAAGACTTCCTGGCAAGGACGAGACTTGTATGTTAAGGCGTCTTGACAGAGTCATGTTACCAATTTTGAACTTCTTTAAACGCCATGGAAAAATTTGGTCAAGAGCATCAATTGAAAAATTTGATGCTCTTGACGAAAGTATATTGAGCTGTCCGTAATTATCGGCTTATTAAAGGGCGCTTGTGATCGTTGCGTAGTGTTTCTGCTTGTAGAACGAGTGCGCAGAGTATAACAAAATTTCCCTGCTGTACTACGTAAGCAATTACCAAGACATCGTGCATGTATGTTGGTTTGTTGGTAAAAACCGAAGTGAATATATTTAGGTTCTTAATTCGCTACCCTGTTCTACATCTAGGCCTATTCATCTCGATCATCGAGAAGCTTCTACAAGAAAGTCGTTCATTGGTCTAATCTAGACCAATGAACGACTACCATTATATCAGTAATCATGATAATAACTGTAAACATTACCGTAATACTGGTGACGTCATCCACGCACATTCAACGGTGTATTTCAACACTCCCACTCACCGTTAATGTTGAGCTTGTTCTAATTCTTGCCTCTTGGTGCCCGTCTTTCCGCGGAGAGGCTTGAGCGTCTTAGTCTTTAGAGCCTACGTTAGCATGTCCGCGAGCTGATGGTTTGTGTCGACGCAGTCGATTTGGATCGTTCAGTATTCAACGTTTTCCCGCGTGAAGCTATGCTTGATGTTAACATGCTTACTTTTGGCATGATATCCCACATTCATTCTGGTCCGGTGCTGTTGTCACTTGGTTGGTCTCCCAGACTTGCGTTGCATGATTCTGGTCTTTACTTATGTCCTTCAAAATTGTGTGCGTCCACAAAACTTACTGGGTGCACAGGCTGAGAGCCGTGATCCCGGCTTCTGCTGTACCCAGTGCCACAATTCTTGAAATTTCAACTTGAACACCACCGGTCCATTACTAACTTTGACCGTCACGCCAGACAGATTGTCTGTCGTCGATGTTCCCCAGTCTGCGTTCGCGAATGCTTCAACCATAATGTTGCTGCCCCCTCTTCATATACAATTCCATGCAAGCGCGTTGACATCAAGTATCTTAACACATGATGCTAGGCTCGCCAATGCTGTATTCCAGAATTGTTGAAAAACCTTGATAATTGCGTAACTACGTATACAATGTCCAGTCTAGTACATGTACATAAGACAGCCGATGAGAGAGCAATAAGGCTTTGACTGCATTTTAGTAGCTTCTGCATCTGTTCCTGGTGATTGTTCCTTGGAATGCCTGAGATTGGAGGCACATGGGTTATCGGTCGTGTTGGCGTTCTGCTGACCGAATCGTTGCGTAACATTGTCAATATAACGCGTTTGCTTGATAATAAGCGCTCCGAATCTCTTGTCGTTATCTCCACCCCCAAGATAGACTTTGCGTTCCCAAGCTCCTTCATTTTGAAAGCACTCTTGAGAGTATCTTTGACTAAACGGATCTTTGCAAGGGTCTTGGCTGCAACTATCAAATCATCCACGTAGAAACGCAGATGTATCCGCTGTTAGAGAGTTTTACATACACGCACTGATCCACGCCACAATTCTTAAGACCATTCGAAACGAAGACTCCATGAATCGTTCTATTTCAGGTGCTAGCTGCTTGTCAAACCTGGTCTACAGTAAAACTACAGGCGGTATCTCCATATAGACTTGGCCACTTAGCTTAATATTTAGAAACGCAGTGTCTGCATCCAGCTGTTCCACTTTCTATACGTCTGCGACGCAAACAACCAATACAGCCCGAATCAAATCTGTGTTCGCTACGGGGGAGTACGTTTCAGAAAAATTCACATTCTTTAAACCCCTTTGCGACAAGCCGTGCATTGTAACGAATGACTCGGCCGCTCTCATCACGCATCTTAGCAAAAACCCATCAACATCCAATCGAACGAGCGTCTCCACGCGATGCAATAGACCAAGAGTCGATTTGTTCATGTGATAGTAATTCAGTCTCCATAGCCGCTCGCCACGCCATTGCTTCATCACTTACAACCGCTTCAGCGCATGTGTTTGGAACCCGTCGATTCGTGCCGCATACACCAACACTGCTTCGGCAAGTAGTCTATCTTCGTCGATTCTCGGTGACTCGGAGACAGTGATCTTTCGCTTTCTCCGATTTTCATTCATCATCCATCTCCAAGCCGTCTTCCAGTAATAAAGGTAGCCCCCGAGAACTCGTTGACTGCTCTGTGCCCGGACGATACACCAAACGACTCCCCCCAAATATTCGCGGAGAGCGATATTCTTTTAGCTCTTGCCTAGTTGCTATCCGATCTTCGAGTGGTAGAGGTCGCTCAAGATTGATATTGCGCTCTGATTCGACCTCGTCCATCTTAATATCTTGCGTAGACTTCTCAACACTGTTCATAGGTTCGTCTATCACCGGCGTTCTCTCAGCAGGAAAATGGGTCGCTTCTTCATTGATTTCCTTGAAAACATGAGCAACCGATTGTTTTCCAAACAAGTTTGGTTGTAAATTTCGTTCAATATCATGCTCACTAAGCTGAACAAGTCGTGTAATCTTGATTTTTGATGATTTCAAATCATAACCACGATACCACTTTGCGTTTTCAGCATATCCAAGAAGCATTCACTTGTAGCTCTTAGGATTGAGCTTTGCCCTTTTAACGCTATCAACGTGAACATATATTTTGGACCCAAACACACGCAGAAGTTCCATTCGTGGTTTTTGCTTAAACCTTACTTCGTTCGGCGTCATGTCACTTCGTTCAGTGATAAAGATCCAGCGCGCATATACTGTTACAACAACTGACATAGCTTAAGCAATCAGTTTGACCATTTCCAACAGCAGAATAATCATTGACTACCTCCTCGGCTTGGGTAAGGTCCATCACTTCTGTCGCACAAAAAAGATCTACATGTCACCCTTTGACCGTCCTCCTGCTGCATGAAAGCTGTCTCTCACATTTGATGCACGATCACTGCGAGCAGGAACGAACAGCTACTGTTGTTAAAGAGGCCACCGACTATCCTGACACGCCTGGTTTTAAACTAGTTGTGAGCAACACGACACCTATCATTTGTATACTTCCGATATCGAAAGGACTTATATGTACAGTCAGACTTATTTCGTTTAACGTTTTCACTTAAAAGATTTGCAAAGGCAATTCTAAAGTCGGAAATGAGCTCGAGAATCACTTAAGTGACCTGGTCGACCGCTGTGACTAGAGCCAAAAGTAATTCAATCAACAATAAACGAGCGAAAGGGGTGCTTAAAGTGACAGTTTCACTCTTGTGTGAGAAAATTAAGCTGGAATTTCGAACGATGAGTTCAAAGTGCGATTGCGTTGGAACCTGCAGATACGCTGTAAAGTAAGCGTATTATTGTTGGGCACCTTTACAAGACCAACCACAGATTGAAGAATAGGAGCATCGTAAATTGCTTCGTTAACTTTATTAATAGTGTCCGAAAGATGCAACAGCGAATAATATAGAGCTGTCAGAATGGAAAATAAAAAAAAAGAAATCGTGTTGGCGATGAATGAGAAGAGTCAGGTCAGCAAGGAATAAATGTTTCGAATTGTGTACTAAAAGCAAAATTGATATGAAAATATGGGAGGAAGAGACGTCATATCGTGTTGGTTGTGTAACAGCTCCAAACTAACTACTTTGGACTTTCCGTCAGAAAACAACCAAGAAAACAATTTTTTTTTGAGTGTGCCAGCCTAATTTGTAAAAAAAATCCAAGCCAAAATTTGTACTCGAAAACATGATTATCAGAAGACGGGGGATATCATTCTTAAGCATTCGTTGTATAGACCAGTAGTTAACAGGTGGAGAAATTTCATTCAGATGAAATGACTGCAAAGGTCACTGCGTTGACAAACTTGACTTTAAAAGTCGGGGTATTAGACTGTTAGTGGCATTTTTAATGTCTTGGCCAACAAATATCGATTCATGGAGTACAGAAAACATTTTTTCGGAAGCAAAAGGGTAGATTGTAAATGTGCTGTCGTGATTTGAACACCAATTGTGGGGGGGGTATTTCTAATACTCGTGTTTGTGAGCGCGTAGTGTTGATTAAGGAGCCAGGTAACGTAGGTAAGTGTGAATGCGTCATGGATGGGACCCCATGATACACGCAAAATGTAGAGACTCGAATATACAATGACATTTACAATGCTTTTCGATGTAGCAAAGTCAAAGCCTTTTCCCCAGAATAAAGCGGAGATAAATGTTGTTCCAAAGTCTAAAAGGTCAGCTTGAACAACAGGTTTGTGTCCACTAGTTAAAGCAAAGTTTTGTGTTCTGTAGTAAATAGATTCATCGGCGATAGGAAGGGCGATAGGATGGGACGTTTTGCCAGTGAAAAGAAGATGTACAGGAATGGAGTAGTACATACATAAAGTTCAATCCATCACCTTGGCCTTGAGGCGCACAATAGAAGGATGCTTGAGCTGGAGTGAATCCTTTGTATGTGAAAGCCAGTTCGACCTGTCGTATAACTTAACGGATTAATAAGGTTGAAGGAGGTTGACTTTAACGACAACAGTATGAAGATTTCCCCCCAGCGTCCAATGAAACAGAATACCAGAGATAGATTAACCGTGTATTGATGATGATTTGGTGCTGTTAACGAAATTTCACATCAGGGGATCCAAAAGTTTTATTTATTCTTTCGATACCGCTTGAACGCTTTTAATGTGTCACAGGATCAATAAAATCTTCAATGACAGAACGCGTCTTTGTAGCGTGCTGGCTCTTCAAAGCCAGGACATGCAAAGTCTCTCAAAGCGCAATTTGTCTAATTGCAAGCTTGTCCTGCACTGGTGTCTCACCAGAATATATAAAAAGTAGTATGATCTTCATGGTTAGATTCTCGGGTTCCGCAGCAGCGTAGATTGAGCAAAGTATTTTTAGACGACTCCCAGGGTCGCAATGAAAATTTAATCGTCATGTCCACATTTATAGGCAAAGCAGTTGCAGCATAATACCCTAGAGCATGGGCTAAAAACTAAAAAGACTTGGTGTCAATTATTAATCAACTCTGTCCTGTCATGTGCAATATTGAGAGCGTAATGATAATTACCGCAAATCATTTTTGGAAAAGATTTATTGAATACAAAAAGACAGCTCAATAAAGTCTCTATTAATAGAACAAATAGTCCGACAAAAAGATCGCCATGTTAAACATCTGCTCTCAAGCTGAAAAATTGAAGCGTGAGTTATCCTTTGAACTTGTCGCAGCATCTCAGTAAAAATGTCGGAAATCAAAGACAAAAACCTTCACAGATTCCATATAACAGAAGAATATTCAATACCTACCGATCTACACTGTTAAAGGCCTTTGCAAAGTTGTGGCATATAGCATCGGCAGAAGCTTGCGATTAACTGGTGTTGGTGTAATGTGGAAGATCTAAGAAATGCCTTTATGCGTGGTGGATACTACTACCAGATACAAACCCAGATTCGCCGCCGCCTAGAAGCGTTGTTGAGTCTGCAAGTCAGAGCTTTCGGTCCAAAGTTGGCATCGTTACTTGATAGCGTGATGGGGCAGTAGTTTCTGGATCAAAGCATTTACCACTATTAGAAATATAAGCACGACATTGAAACTTTCCTTACGCTCAAGCTGGAATTGGGAGCATAACCATTTTCAAGGCTCGCGCCCAATCAAACTAGAAAAGCTGGTAATACTCTGCTGGTAAATTATCGGATTCGGGGATCTTTCCACACGCTGTGTGCTTGATGGCATATTCGATATCATTAGCTGTAAGCGATGCGTCTAATGCGGATGCTTGGCAAGACGTGAGCTCCCGACTGGCGTGTTTCAATGGACTGTAGTTTGTCCACGTCAAAACCCTTAGTAATACTAATAAGATCTCTAAGATTAGATTTGCATAGTGTAGATAAGCATACCCAACGGTTAGCCTCTCACATAGAGCCACATAACTACATATAGTATCATTTTTAGCTAATATTAATTCTAAGGTCTGCCTTCACAGTTGCAATTAATGGGATAGCGTACTCGCTCTAATATGATAACGCAAGTTCTTACGTCCATGTTAAGATTCGGCTCGTGCTGCTTGCTAATTTAATGCTCCTTGTCTGATACATATACCTGCGCCTTGTAGGTGAGATGATAAAATCATGCTACAGTAGAACCTGTCTAAATCAAACCTGTTTAGTGTAAAACCCTCTCTGAATTGAACAAAAGATATGAACCCATGTTGGGCACCATACTTAAATTAAAATACCCTTAAAATATAAAAATTTGAATTTGATAGCTTAGTCTTGACAATTTTCTTAACTAAATCTCTCTATATATCGTACGTAGAAACAAAAAGTCTGACGTATTCTGACTTAGAAAGAGAGTACTAAATACG